GCGCCGAGTCCCTGGGCGTCTGGGACGCCGCGCGAATTGCTTTGAAGGGGCCTTCGGTTGCTCGTTTCGGTGCTACGACGCATGCGAGGGGTGCGCCGGAATCGGCGGGGGGGGCCCATTCGAACAGTGGCAGCGGAACCTTCGGTAAAGCTCTCTTCGGGGCCCTTCGCGCTAAACTTGCGAGATGGCCCAGGGGGCCTCATAGGACCTTTGACAGGTCAGTTTGGCAGCCCCCGCGTGGGCCGGGCAGGGGCGGGCGCATCTTCTCCGAACGGTGCTGAACAAGTCTCCCAGTGCATCAAGCTGGCCCGCGGGACCCCGTGGGTTCTGTGAGGCGCAGTGGGGCTTGGGGCATGGTTTCGCTTGGGCGTGCTCATCGTCTCAGGTCGGTCAAGCAATGCATCGCTGGAGGTAGCATTCCAAGTTGCCTGGTCGCGTTCGTCGTTGTGCCCGTGGCGCCGCCCTCGTGATCTGGATGATGCTTGCATCCCTCGCCGTCATATTTTCCGTAGCTGGCGCTTGGCTTGCAGCGGCTCCTACTTGACATGGCCGCCCAGCCAGTCAACATCATTTGAAGTGGCTTTCACTCTCTTTTTTTTTTTTTTTTTTTTTTTTTTTTTTTTTTCTCTCTCTCTCTCTCTCTCTCTTTCCTGAATCTATCATTTTTCTTTTTCGTGCGCCTCTTCTGCGGGTCCGTGGGGGCCGCGCAGTCATGCGAGTAGATCTCAGAGTCGGTCGCGTGCGAGGGGGCCCTAGCGACTGAGTCTCAACCAGCTCCATCATATCCACCGCCGTAAATCCTCTCCGCGGGGGTATCTGCCTGCGCCGCCGCGGTCTTGCTGCGGGCGCAGCACCTCTCGCTGCCGCGGAGGCCATCGACGTCGATGAGAGCGGAAACGCCTACGTGGAAATGCTGGCCCCGGACGAGTTGCACAAATCTGAATTGGGGCATCTGGTTCCAAATGGGCGCTGTGTACGCCTCCGAGTGTATGCGGCAGGAACCGGGAAGGCAGTGGTTGAACGTGACGCCGCTTTATTCACCCCTGAAGAGTTTGGAGAGCGCGACGCAGTTGTTGCTGCTGTTTTGCTTGTGGAACTGCGAGTGTTGGTCGTTCGCGGCTGTGTCTCGCGGCGCCCGCGCCGAGGAGCGCGCGGCGTCCTTGACCGCGGGTGGGTTGGCATGTGGAACGGGCGCGAAGCAAAGCAGACCACTTTCAGAAAGCACTGATCTTTCGCATCAGGCTGATCATTCGAGGCTTCAAGGTCGCCGTGGCCGATCACATCGCCACTTATGCCGGCGCCTCGTCGCGGCGCTCCCAGCGCGTGACTGTCTCCGAGGCTGCTTGCCGAGGATGGGCGCTCGATGCGCGGGGCGTCAAGGAGGCCTTGCTGAAAGGCCTCAGCTATCAGGGACTTGCGGGGGCCGGAGGCAACGGGCGAGGATGGGCGTGATGTCTACTTCGACCTCTGCTCCGACGCCGTCACCGTCCCGTGCAAAGTGCAGGGGCGCGAGGACTTCGATCCAGCGCTCGAAGTTCCCCGCGTGGAGAAACCAGGCGCCGGGCGCAAGGCTGCCCCGAGATGCAGGTCGACCTAATTTACCAAGATCACCAATGAAATGCACCAAGCCATTCCATACTATACGACAGCGAGGCTACCGCCAAGCGTCAGGAGGGCGAACATGTCGTCAACATCAAGGTGGCAGGACCACCTCAGGAAAAGGCCAAGTTACGTCCGTGTCTAGCGGATGCCTTTGGTAGAGGTGAGCTGGATCTCAGTGAAGGGAACTGCGCGCGCTGTGGTGCGCGTTGCCCCCCTGCACGCGCGACGTCGGATATGAGATGGACCAGATCGAGCGCACCCAGGCTTTGAAACCTGGGCGAAGCGCCGAGCTCGCTGGCAAGTCTCACTCCGAGTTCGCCTCGGGGAACCTTGCCGAACTGTGCCTCAGCCTGCTCGTGGCATTAGCCTTCGCACCCTATCGCAATAATCGTCTTGCACGTCTACGTGGTCGTACTTCAGCGTCGCGCAGCGGCGCCAATGTCCGGCCGCGTGCGGAAGCTCAACGCGATTGTGAGATAGGCGCAGGCCATGCCATTGCTACTCCACTACCCACCTTTGCGCTGCGCAAGCAAACTAGAATTGCACAGCGATGCAGCAATCGGAAAATTCAGTGGGAAGGCGCTGACGCGGGGCGGGCCTGGCGAGGAGCAGCCTTCCTGCGCGTGGGCGCTGGTGACACGGACGCTCAACGCACATTCGTTGGCAGGCAAACGTGCCGCCTGCTAGATCGGCCGTGCGGGGCATTCAGAACTGTGACGCGAAGCGCCTTGCCAAGTGAGCTGCCGGGCGCGATCAGCTCAGCAGATCGCTGTCTCGCTCCAGCCACCGCGCTCAACGAGGTGCTCAAAGGACCCCGAGGTCCTACAGCAGCGCGCCGCCAACGAGATGGCCAGCAGCCATTCGCAGCGCAAGTTGAATTCTGCTTGGACTCAGTGGGGGTGGTAACCGCCGTCGCGGCTGCGATGCCCAAGCCCCCAGCAGAAGGCTCACTGCCGCGTGTGCTCTGGCTCTGCGACCCCTTGGGTTCCCCAATTCTGGGCCCTGAGCTGGGAAGACGAGCGAGGTGTGATCGCGGGCGGGCTGACCGCGGGTAGCATCGATGGATCGGCGCTCCACGACGTGGCCAGTGGCTCTCGCCAGCGGTCACGCGCGTGCCGTGCGCCGCGACCCTCGCGTCGGCTGGGGAGCTCACCGCGATCTCTGGCCATGAAGAGCGCCGGCCGGTTTCTGGCAACTCAAAGTTTTCAGTATGTGTATGTGACTGCTTCGTGCTCCATCTCCCTGGAGACCGGCCGCCGTTCCTAATCCTTATCCCTTTTGGAAGGCAGGTCATGTTGCGCATGGTGGTTAGGGGGCATGCTGCAGCGAGGCAGTCCGGGAATGAGCATGTTGGCAGGGGCCTCGTCGGCGCAATTTTCAGCGAGCGCCGGGGCATGCGCGCGGGTGCGCGTGTGCACGGACGCGCGGGATGAGGAAGTAGTCGTGATGATCAGGAACGAACGTTTATGATGCCGCTGCCGCTTTTCTCAGGAGCAGGCCTGTGCGCCGCCCAACCCGAGCGCGCTGGGCCGCGGCGTGTGGCTCGCGCGCCGTCGGGCACGCGCGCGGGCGCCCGGCGCGCGTCGCAGCGCGCTAGCGGCCGCCCGCTGCCGCGCCCGCGCGTGCCGGCTTGCCTCGAATTAGGCCGCCGGAGCCTCCTGGGCCGCTGCCGCCTCGTCTCTCGTGGGCCGTGCTCTTTGCGTCGCTGTCGCCCACGGCAGAAGTGCCGTCGTCGGACAACGTGGCGCTCGCGGCGTCCGCGCGTCGAGCCGAACCACGTGCTCGATGTCCGTCGCCCCCCCTGGCGCATGGTCAACGTGTGGCATCCCAAAGGCAAGGTCGGTCATGGGTCGTCCTCCTGACATGCCTCCGATGATGTCTCCAACGAGTCAGGAGCAAGTGCGTCGGTCACAGCGTCATTTGCAGCAGTCCAGGGTTGAAAGGCGCGTCCAGCGTCTCGCATAAACCTCATCTGCCTCTCGATGTCAGATTCGGGCTCAAGAGACTCCGCGGTCCCGCTCTTGCCCGCCGTCTCCCCGCAGGCGCCGTGCAGTGGCCGTGTCCCGCGTGCGGATGCTGCCTGCCAGCAGAGCCTCCGCGCCGACTTTTCCAAGCCTCCGCCGCCTCCCGACGTGCCATCTTCGGCGCTCGCGGAAGATTCGCAGCTCCCTGCTTTCAGCAGGAGCGACGCCGAAGTGGTGGAGCTCATTGGGAACTGGTACGTCGGCGACCCGATCCCCGATGTGCTGATTTGTAGGAGCCTGTACTCAGGGCAAGTCATGGGGCCCGAGTTGCGCGCCGGGCTCACCTGCGAGGCTCGTCGGGCTGTGGGCTGGGTGAACGACGCGCAACCGTTGTGCGACAACGAGCCGCTCAGCACTGTCGTGGTCATGTGCACCGCCTAGGTGCGTGCCGCGTGGGCCTCGTGGACCGTGCAATAGGCGGTTGAGCGCTGCCGCCACTGGGCTCTCACCAGTCTCGGCTCGTGGCCAGGGTTCGGGCAAGACCCTCTCTTGGCCTTCGACGAGTCGGCCCTTGGCGCGCCTCTGTCAAGAGTGGCCCGCTGAGCTCCAAGAGGCCAGAGCCGCCGACGCCGCGGCCGTCGCGCTCCCCAGCGCCTCAGTGTGAGCGCGTCTGCCGCGCACACATCCTCGTCGGCACTTCTCACCAGAGACCCTGCTCAGGTTCCCATCTGTGCCCCAGGGCCACGAGGCGGAGTTCGATGAGGACAGCGCTGTTCACGGCTCGAGCTAGAGACCGACGCTGCCCCGTCCTTCAGCACCGCGTCCGTTTTGGACGAGGGCGGGGGCTATGCCGCCCATCGGTACTCGCGGGCACGCCGTGACGGGTTATCCCCGGTGAATCTAAGATGTGCTGGGGTTGGACAGTTTTGGTTCCTTCCTTACTCTGTACCTCTTCTCCGCCAGAACTGTTTGATCGCCCGCGCAATCTCGACTCAAATCGGATGCTCTACCGCCGTTTGGGTTCAGCGCCGTCGCGTACCTGAGTAACGTGCGGAGAAGCTACACACTGCAATCAACATCTTTTTGCCGCCATGCTTTCTCTCGTGCAGCTTCCCCCCGCAATTCAAGTTCATCCTCCTTCTCCCGCTGCCTCCTCCTCCTTCTCCTCCTCCTCCTCCTCCTCTTCCTCCTTCTCCTCTCCCTCATGTCGGGCTTGCGGGCGCCTTCTGGAAGCTGCCAGGGACTTTCGCCGAGGCTTCGGGGGACGTGTGGAGACCTCCAGGAGCCTCAGGAAATCTCCAGGCCGCCGTCGCCGCCGTCGTCGTCGCCGCCGTCGTCGTCGTCGTCGTCGTCGTCGTCGTCGTCGTCGTCGTCGTCGTCGTCGTCGTCGTCGTCGTCGTCGCCCGACGAGCGCGCCGTGCTCCGCCTTGCGCACAGGGCCGGCCCCGCGGCGAGGGCCAGGGCCGAGAGTTCCCCGACCGTCGTGCGGTACAGGCCGCCCGCCGCGTGCCCCCCCCCCGCCGCTCTGCGCGGCCCTCGGTTCCCTCACGTGCGCGCGCGTGCGCGCACGCACAGCGCCGCTTTCGCCTTCGGTTTCGGCTTCGGTTCGGCGCCGTCGTAGTCGTGGGCGGTGGCGGCGGCTTCGCCCACCGCACGCGTGCAGACCGCGCGCCTGGCCCCCAGCCTTCGCCCCAGGCGGCAGTGTGCTCGCAGGCGTGCGCTGCGTGGCGAGGCGGCGTCGCGGAGCACCTGGCCAGAGGGCACAGGCGAGGGCACAGGCGAGGGCACAGGCGCCACAGCTATCTTCTGATCACGCCTTCCGGGGCAACGTTAGGGGGGATAGACCCATTGGGGAACGCATCTACCCCGAATTGCCTATTCATCGTCGATAGGGTCCCGATAGCCCTCCCCGCGCAGGAAAGTGCGGATTCGTTACCGGGTGCGTATCTCCGATCTGCCAGCGATGTATCGTCGATTCCAGGTCGATGGTTTCCCACTGAGTCAGCCTCCCACTAACGCCCCCCCTCACGCCTGTGTGCTTGCAGGTCATGCCCTCGACATCCACCTTCACCCAGCGTGGCCGCGGCGGCCGCGCCGCGGAGCCTGCGGCCCAGCAGGTGCGGAATGCGGAGGTCGAGGGCTCCCAGAGTCCAGGCCTCCTACATGCGGCCCGAGCAGGTGGTGTCGGAGGACCGTGCCGACGTCGCCGATGCCGCGGCGATGCGGCGCGATGCGGAGCCCGATCCCCCCTCACTCACGCCGACGTCGCCGATGCCGCGGCGATGCGGCGCGATGTGAAGCCCGCGATCCTCTCCCGCGCCCATGCCTCGCCGATGCCTCGGCGATGCGGCGCGATGAGGAGCCCGCTCCTCCTCCACGCCGACGTCGCCGATGCCTCGGCGATGCGGCGCGATGTGGAGCCCCCTCTTCTCTGGCCTCGCCCGCTCGGGCCCCGCTCGGCGGGCCGAGGGGGCCCCCGCTCGGCAGGCCACGGGCGCCCCGAGGGGCCCCCCTCCTCGGGTCGTCGGGCCCGCTGCCGACGGGCGCGTCGCCGTCCTCTGGCATGCTGCACGCCAGCCAGTCTCTCCGTGGTGCTGGGCCCCCCGCAGGGAGGCAGCGTCCCAGCGTTCTGAGGCGTCTGGGGCGTTCCAGAAGGGGCCTTGCCTTCGAGGATGGAAGGAGTTGTCATCTCTTCCGCGGCGGAAGGCGGCGGAAGGGCGGCGGAAGGGCGGCGGAAGTGAAACGAGGCCGCCTCCGCCAGCGGAAGCCGGCGGAAGCTCGGCGGAAGGCGGCGGAAGGAAAAATGCGCCCCCAAGAGATGAAAACGTTTTTGGGTTCAGGGTTTTTGAAATAGCACATCTGTCCGTATCCGCGGTCTCGCGGCCCCGCGGGTACGGGGCCTTTTTTTTTGTTCTCCCCCGCGGATGCCCCCCTCGCGGAGCCTATCCGTGCGACCGCGCATCTGGGGGATCACGCCCCAGAATCCAGACCGCGAGGGATCGGATACGGATATGTTCGCTGCTGGCCTGTGTCTCTCCACGCTTCTGGTCCCCCGCGGGGGTGGTGGTGCGGGCGGCGTTTCTCGTAGGGTGACTGACCTTACCCCGCTCTCGCTTCCGCTCGATCGCTGCGGGCCATCCCACGGGTCGCTTGGTGTCGTTTGGTTCCCGTTTGGCAGTGAGGGTGGTCAACAGCGAGGTCGGTTCGAGTGCCTCTCAGTTTCTCTGGTCTCCCCGCGGCCCACCAAGAGCGGCCCGTGGCGAGAAGTCGGCGTCACCCGCGCTTGGGGTCAAGAGCCGGGTGCTCGTGGAGGCCCACGTTTCAAGGTATTTGTCGTTGCCTAAGGAGGGGTCAGGAAACGAGCCCAGCTTGAGGCTTCTGTTCCTTTCCTCTACAGGCTCGGGATAGTTTTCCTTTAACGCAGGGCATCGGGCCAACGCCGCGAGAAGATGGGGGATTGCACCACGTAGCTTTCACCATCGTGTAGCCGATGATGATGATGATGATGATGATGATGATGATGATGATGATGATGATGATGATGATGATGATGATGATGATGATGATGATGATGATGATGCTGATGCTGATGATGATGATGATGATGATGATGATGATGATGATGATGATGATGATGATGTGGCCTTGCGCCACATAGCTTGCACCACGTAGCTTCGCCACATACCTTTCACCACATAGTTTGCACCGCAGAGCTGGCGACGATGCGGATTTGCACCGCGAAGCTGGCCCAGCACAGCTTCCACCTCATATTTTGCACCACACATCTCGTGTGACGATGTCGGTTTGCACCGCGTAGCTTACACTGCATGACTGGAGCCACGTAGCTTGGACTACATACTTTACAGAGGTCTCAGGCGAAACTGCGCCCAAATCCAAGGAAATCCGTGAATATGTTTCAGGCGAAGACGCACCATAATCAAACCAAGCCAAACCAAGCAAATTGTGAGGACGTCTCAAGCGAAACCGCGCCGAAACCAAGCCAAACCAGGGGCCAAATCAGGCAAATTAATTCTGAGGACGTCTCAGGCGGGGCGCCCGGCCAAGCCAAACCAAACCAGGCCAAACCAGGGGCCAAACCAGGCACATTCTGAGGGCGTCTCAGGCGAAACGCCCCAAACCAGGCTCCACCCACTGACCGTAATAACATATGTTATCCAGTGTGGACCCCAAACCTTGCGTTTCTTGCAATCCAGCTGCCTACGGCAAGTCCCGCCACCGTGCCTGGGTTGTGGGTGTGAAGCCTCTTGGGTGTTCGCTGGGATCTCGTGGGAGGCCTCTCGGGGGCCTCTTGGAGGCAGTGTTGATGCCTCTTGAGGGCCATTTTGGGACCTCTTGGGGCCTCTTTTAGGCCTCTTGGGGGCGTCTTGGGGCCTCTTGTGGGCCTCTTGGGGGCCTCTTGGGGGCCTCTTGGGCGCCTCTTGGGGCCTCCTGAGGGCCTCTTGGGTCGGAAGGCTCGGATTTTCGGTTTGTGTTCCTTCTCTTCGGCCCCTTTTAGGGCCGTCTTGGGGCCCTCTTCGGCCGTCTTGAGGCGCTTTTAGGCCGTCTTGGGGCCCTCTTGGATACCTCTTGGGCCGTTTTGGGGTGGTCTTAGGGGCCTCTTGGGCCGCCTTCGAGCGCCAGAAAGCAGAACAGGCGCGAACGCCACTTCCAACACCTAAAGACAACTTACTGCTTTTTAACTCTTGGGGCCCTCTTGGAGGCCTCTTGGGGCTTCTTTTGCAGGCCTCTTGGGCCATCTTGATGCCATCTTGGGCGTCATCGAGCGGTCGTTCGGCGACTCGGGGCCCTCCTGGACCGTCTTGGGAGCTTCCTGGGCCGTTATGGAAGCCTTGGAGACCCCCAGGGGGGCGCCATGGCCGCACAGGGACCCCCTGGGAGTACGGGTGGTGCAGTCCCCTTGGCGTGAGTGGGAGCATGGTGGAGGGACTTTGCAAAGACTTAGCCCTTGGCATTCTTCCACGCCTCAAAGTGCAGCAGGCACGGTTGCGGATCTATGTAGTGCAAAACATTCGGGGCAATCTATGTGGTGCAGTCTTCGTGGTGCAATATGCGCTGTGCAATCTTTGTGGATCAATTTACTCTTTATGGTGCAATGTATGTGGTGTAATCTATGTGGGGCAATGTATATGTCATGCAATCTATGTTGTGCAGTACATGTTGTGCATTTTATCTGGTACAATATATTGTTCGCGATCCATGTGGTGCAACCGACGTGGTGCAATCTGTGTGATGCTATCTATGTTGTGCAACTTGTGGTGCAATCCGTGTGGTTCAATCGACGTGGTGCAATCCATCTGGTGCAATCAATGTGGTGCCGCTCATGTGCAGCAATCTCTGTGGAGCAATCTCTGTGGAGCAATCTATGTGTTGCACTCGTATGTGGTGCAATCTATGTGGTACAGTTTATGTTGTGAATCCATGTGGTGCGACGTGGCGGCGGCCACGGGCGACGACGAGGCGGCGACGGCGGCAACAAGACCGTGGGGCCGACAAACGAGCCCAGCGGAGGAGCGGCGACAAGGCGGCGACGAGGCGGCGACGGGGCGGCGACGGGGGCAACAGGGCGGCGGACCCGACAAGCGAGCCCAGAGGACGGGCGGCGACGAGGCGGCGACGAGGCGGCGGCGGGGCGGCGACGGCGGCAGCAGGGCGGCAGACCCGACGAGCGAGGCCCCGACGGCGGGAGGCGGCGGGGCGGCGCCGGCGGCAGCAAGGCGGCGGACCCGGCAAGCGAGCCCCGACGACGGGAGGCGACGAGGCGGCGACGGGGCGGCGCCGGCAGCAGCAAAGCGGCGGACCCGACCAACGAGCTCAGTTCTTTAGAAGACAAGCAAGAACACAGACAAGCAAGAACGCCAAAGTGAAGCATTGTTTGGGGAGTGACGTTAAAGGAGTGGATGGCGCAAGCCCCCCCCCCCACCCGGAGAGGTTCCTGTAATTAGAATCCTATGGGGGGCGGGGGTGCCCCCTTCAACATTGAACGATTGTGATTCTATGTGTTATAGGCTGTTGACCTTTTCGGGCCCGTGCGCGGCCCTCCACTCTTGAGGCCTCCCTGGGGTCTCCTCAAACGAGAGGCCTACGTGGCTGGGCCGCCGCAGGATGTATGCGGCTGAGGCGCAACGGCATGTATGTGGCCAGGGTGCAACGGCATGCGTTTGTCTTGCGAGTGGTCTCGGGGCAGCGGTGCTGCGTAAGGAGAGCTATGCCCGAGGTTGGAAGGGCTTCCCGGTGCGACATTCTCCTGCAGCCCCTGACCTCCGATATCCTTTTTTTCCAGCCGTCCTGTGTTGAGTTGGGTCTTCGTTTTGAAGAGACAGCGCCTCGCGTCCTCTCTCCTCTCTCCTCTCCTCCTCCCATCTCTGCCTGTGCTCTCCGCATGTCAACAATTTCGGCGCACCCCTCACGCGTTTCGTGGCCCCATAGGGAGCTCCACCAGAGGCCCCAGAGGGAGCGTTCTCTTGTGGGCGACA